TAAATTGTCCGTAGGTGTGAATGTGAGTGTGCTTGGTTGTCTGTCTCTAAGTGTAGCCCTGTGATAGACTGGCGAGCTGTCCAGGGTGTCCCCTGCCTTCGCCCAAAGTCAGCTCCATTCCCCCGCGACCCTTGTGAGGATTAAGCGGTGTATAGATAATGGATGGATGGATATTGACAATGATGCAGCAGTATTTCTGTTACATTTGTATGCATTGTACATTTAATTTGATTTACTGAGATGCGAACAGCTTTTTGGTTTCATACAATAAACAAATCTTTTGGATTAATTATGAGCAGGTTTATTTTTTGTTAAATTTTTCCGTTTAACTGAGAACCGAACCGTACCGAACTGTGACTTCCGTACCGAGGCATGTACCGAACCGTGATTTTTGTGTACCGTTACACCCCCAGTTTGAACACTAACAGAAACAGTTCATGTTGTGTGTCTCTGTGAGGATGCGCTACAGTGTCAGTATCTTACTTCTTTCCAACAGAACGTTGTCGTCTTTTAAACTCATTGACGTCAACATTTGATCGATCACTCCCCATAGACATACTGCTGGGTTCTGGTCTTGATCCTGGTCCTGGTCCTGGTACATGTACTTGTACTGGTACTGGTACTGGTTCTGGGTTCTGATGGATCCTGGTAGACAGAGAGGAAAANTGGACTCTGTGGATCAACATCAACAGTTAGATCTCAGTACATCTGAACTTATTCTAGCCACTGTGTGGTTTAAACTAGGGGTGTAATAATGCACCTTTCGGTTCGTTACAGACGTGTACTGCGGTACGAAAATTTTGAGACTATTAAGAATGAACAATGTACAGAATTGTTTCAATTGTGAAACTTTAAATCTCATGGTGCCCACAGTTGCGGTGGACCTTCTCCGGCTCACAGTTGCGCAGTATTGCAGAACTAAAAACTAGTAGGAGTTTCCAGTGGACCACAGGATGTGACCGTTCGTTCTCCCGTCGGAGCTTCCTGTATGGCTAGTGAATGGGATGGCTGGCTGATAGATAAGGTCATTGTCGTTGTGACATTAACAATGACTCAGCATGTCTCCTGTTTCACTTTAACTGTCTTTGGCATGAATCATGACGACTGACGCGTGCTTTGTTGCGTTGTTCATGCTTTTCATTTCCGTTGCTAAAGTTGTGCTAACCTAGCTTAAGCTACTCCTTGTCTGTTTATGTTAGCATTAGCATCGCTGTAGTTCTGCCAACCTAGCATAGCGTTAGCTAACAGCTTGAAGCCAGTAAGGAACTGCAGAAATAACGTAACTGTACAAAATATTTGTTCATCACTCCGTCAGCTTGTTATTGATGATATCAATGATAATTCAAATGCTATAGATACATTTTGATTCTCCATGAATCCAATAGTGTAGATCAAATGAATGCAGAACTTGCTGGAAATCCCAAAATGGTGGAAATGAGCTGCTTGGCGCAGGTCTGCACCCTCAGAGTGCTCTTCTAGTTAGCCATGTTTTAGCACACAAGCTCAGATTTGGCTGCATAATACTTCTTTCATGTATTTGAAAAATCTTTGTTTTTTATATCGCTGAACTTAGTTGGTGGCAGCATTGTCTTCCTGTTTTATATTGGAAAAGTAATTGAGTTATATTTACAGCTGGAATTGTTAATGCTGCACTTGTACTGTTATTTATTTTATTTTGTTTATTTGATATTGACAACGAGCTGCAAGGTGGCGCAGTTGGTTAGCAGTGTTGCCTCGCAGCTAGACAGTCGCCGGTTCACGTCCCAGTGAGGACACCNATTAACAACAAACTCCAAACTTCAGTGAAGGATTTGACTTGAATATGAAAAACCATCAACAGTCAGTGAACTGACCTGAGAGTCTCCAGTTTACAGTTTGGACTCTGCATTCCATCAGAAAGATGCTTCACTCCTGAATCCTGCAGGTCGTTGTAGCTCAGGTCCAGTAGTGTCAGATGGGAGGGGCTGGACTTCAGAGCTGAGGCCACGACTTCACAGTGACTCTCTGAGAGTCGACACTTAGAAAGTCTGTCATGACACATAAATGATAAAACATGATATTATGAAAAAGGACACTTTATGTTTCCTTCATGTATTTGATACCAGAACATTTGGACTCGTCCTGTTGGACATTTTCTTCTTCACATCAGTGGTTCAGCTGATCTTCTCTGACTGTGTTTGACATGAAACTGAACTCTCATCAGCCTCTCTCACACCTGCACACTTTGAATCTGTAATAATTCCATAAATATATGATCTTAATGTTGAATCTGCAGATGGAGGACAGAAGATGGAGTTACATTCAGGCTTCCAGACTGTCCACAGTCTGTCAGTGTGATCTGATCCCACGTCTGACTCCACAAAGTTATCAGGAGAACATCTGGATCAGAAGAACATGTTCTGACCACTGTTTTTACTGTGACTCAGGATATTGTGACTGAGTGGAGCTCTGAGGAGACAGCAGCTCAGCCTGACCCCCCTGCCCTCTGTTATCCTGGGCAACGTTCAGTCCCTGAGGAACAAGCTGGGAAATGTCAGGTTTCAGAAGGACTGCAGGGACTGCTGTGTGATGGCCTTTATTGAGACGTGGGTGATGGAGCAGGACCAGGACGCCGACCTATCAGTCAATGGACTTGGAGCTCCATTGCATTTGGACTGGGACACGGTGGTAACGGGGAAAACCCAAGGAGGAGGAGTATGTTTGTACGTGAATAAACGTTACTGTAGCACTGTGACTGTCAGAGAACGTATCTGCACGCCAGATGTCAAACTTTTATCCGTGTCACTGCACCCGTTTACTTCCCCCGCGTGTTTCCCCAACTTTTTATCACCACAGTCTATATTCACACGAGGGCTCACTCCGCCTCCGCCTGCAGCACCATCGCAGAGGCAGTGCAGAGGCTGCAGTCGCTCTCCCCCGACATCCCAAACTTTTTCATGGGTGATTTTAATCACGTCTCTCTTAAATCAACCCTGAAAAACTTTTACCAGTACGCATCCTGTTCTACCAGATGGGATAAAATATTGGACCTTAGTTATGGATCAGTGAAAAATGCTTACAATTCCCTCCCTCTTCCTCCTTTGGGATCTGCTGACCACAACCGCTTGCACCTCCTGCCCATCTATAGAACTGTTTTAAAATGAGAGAAGAAAAGGACCAACGACATTGAGATGTGGTCGGAAGAATCTGTGTTCTCCCTGTAGAAATTTTTTAACTGGACAGATTGGGAGGTCTTTATCCAGTCCTGTGGGGATGATCTTGACGCTCTGGTGGATGTCACCAGCACTTATTCTGTTTTCTGCAAGGATATGATTATACCCCGTACGCCTGTTAAAGTGTACCCCAACAACAAGCCATGGGTCACCAAAAGTGTGAAATCTTGTCTGAATAAAAATAACCTGGCTATCAAAGAAGGGGCTGTCTCTGAATTTCAGTCAGCCACCAAAGACCTAAAAAACTGAGATTCTGAAAACAAAACAAGAGCTACAAAACCCTTCTTGAGAGCAAAATGGCTGCAAACAATCTTGAATCTGCCTGGACATGTATAAAAACCATTGCAGGCCTTCAAAACCTCCAGAGCAGCAGCCACTTCATTTTAGATGGTTTTAATCCAGACAGAGATTTTGCAAATGCTTTCAATAGTTTTTATGCTCGTTTTAATTCTTCTCATTTTAGCATAGACATTACGGAACTGAAATAGGAACTGAAGGACACTCAGCACTTTAACATTGAACTCTGAAGCCAGGGTCCTGATAATATTAGTGGTCACCTTATCAAATCTTGTGCTAAAGAACTCAGTCCTGTATTTCAGGTTATTTTTTAACATGCCCTTGCAAACACAGCATGTGCCCTCTCTTTGGAAAGATGCTGTCTTGGTCCCTGTCCCTAAATCCAGGTTTCCAAAAGCTTTGAATGACTTCAGGCCTGTTGCTCTCACTTCAGTCATGATGAAAGTATTGAAAAACTGGCTAGGAAGGCGATCCTGAAGGAGACTGAACATGAGCTGGATCCAGTGTAGTTTGCATACAGGCCCACCAGAGGAGTGAAGGTTGCTGCACTGACTCTACTAAACATGATCTTGAAACATGTGGCGAAAAAAGGGAGACTTTCATTTATTGATTTCTCCTCTGCTTTTAACACAGTCCAGGCCCACATTTTAACCAAAAGACTTTTAGAACAGTTTGAAATCAGCAAAAATCTGGTGGGCTGGATTTTAGACTGTTTAACTGACAGGTCACAAAGAGTGAGAGTAAATGGGGTTCTGTCTGACCCAATGTTATCCTCCACAGGTTCTCCACAAGGGTGTGTGCTGTCACCTTGATTATTCATCCTCGATACAAACATGTGTCAGAACAGATATGAAAACAGGGCCATCATTAAGTGTGCAGATTGGATCCCTACTAGACTGAGCCCTAACATTATCAATCCTTAAGGACGGCTCCCATCCTCTACGAGCTGGATTCCAGCTTCTTGAGTTTCTGTCTGAGAGGAACTGAATATCAGGAAAGATGTAAAAACTGGACTCTGAAACACGACTTCCCTCTTTAAAATCAACAGCTGAGTTCAGAACCAACAAAATGCTCCATGACTCAGTTCAACACTTTGCAGCGTCAGTCTTTGTCTGATCAGTAGTTTACGGAGCCTCATGTCCACGTTAACAAGCTTTAGATAGAAACTGTTGGACAGAGACTGAATCACTTCACTGATGTCAGGATGATTCTCTACCTGTGAAACCAAATCACTGTTACAGCATCA